GACAAACAGACACACAGACACACAGACACACAGACACACAGACAGACACACACAAACATACATACATGCATACACACACACACACACACACACATTATATATATTGTAAGTATGTATTGGAGAGCATCAGAGGGATTTTCCCCTTTTCAGAGTGTTGAAGAGCTTGAAATTTGTAAAGTCAAAAATCCATTATACCTTCCCAATCCTGCTTTTTTGATGATAGCCTTGATAATAAGAGTTATCAGTCTCTTAAGAAATGTAAGCTATTCCCTTTAATTTAAGGATTAGTTCCTAGCATTGTGTTATCCAGAGAAAGCAGCATGGTGACCTAGTGGTGAAGATGTTTATCTCTCATTTGGAAGGTTAGGAGTTCATTCCTAGGTAGCGGCTGATATTTCTCTCCTAAGAAAAAATATCTGCTGTGAACACTGTGTGTTGTCAGGAAATGCATCTGGCCAGTAGATGCTCACCTCCATCCAGTCATCCTGAGTCTACCCTGAATTAAGGGATTACAGGGTCATAAAAAGGGAGTTTTTATTGTGTTATCCTGGGGGGGAAAAGTAAGTTCTACTCAGCTTTTCATGTTTTGGCCAATTGCTTAATTGGAACATAAAATTCATGACCTGAAACAATAATAAACAAGAGCTTAAAAGATTCTTAGAGCATGAAAAATGTATATCATAAACCTACGATCAATAGGTTACAAACCATTATTTTGAGCCAGAGGAAAAGTGGAAAGTAAAATTTTAGAAGCAATTAAATTAGAGAAGATACAGAAGGATACTACAAATAGCATGATAAATAATCCATAAAGATATTTCATATTAAGAAACTCCTTACAGATTTCTGTAATTCCCGTTGAGTACTGTATAAATATATTGATGAGAATAGCTGTATTTATTCAGCTTCCCTTTTTGATTTCTATAATTCTGTGTCATTTTCCAGCTGACTGAGACTTAGGCTTTGAAACTAACTTACATTTTAAAATTATTTGCCGTCTGTCATACAATTGATGGCAGAAACCATAATAAATTTGGTTGAGACACCGTATGGGGCAATTAATATGATTAAAAAGTAGGGAGAAGGAAGAAATCTATTTGGGGCTATCACTGGGTTTGAATCTTTGAAGAACATCATTTGTGGTAGCAGACATATGCTGCTATAAAGGATAATTTAAGGGTTTTCCTAGAATTGCTAATACTCCTATATAATTTTATATAAAGGTAGTGAGTTTGTATTCTACCTATGTGCATGTTATTCTTCATATCACCTCAGTTCTTTTAATCTATTCTTCCATGTCGAGACGCACGTTCAGTTAATGTCAATTAATGGTTGATGGTTAATCATCCACTTCACATTTCCATAACTTCTAAAATCCTCTGGTCTAAAGATTTCTCATCATTCCCAGAAATTTGCAGAAATTAAATGTGTAAAGGATATTCCATTTAGATGATGTAGTAACTACGAATTTACAATCTGTTAGAGCAACTGAAAATGACAACTCTTTTTCCTTTGCCATCCCTTTTTACTATTTGACCATTTCATCATTTCAAACAACTCGCATCTGTTTTAAACAAAAAAAAAATTCTTTACTTCCTTTTCTACTATAACTTGTGTCAACTACTCTTAGCTTGTACTTGATATGGAATGGTAAGGTTATTTTACAACAGGCCTGTCAAACTGGTGGCTCACGGGCCAGATGCATCACACGCAAGACACTCCCACCCCGGCTCTGCAAAGGCAAAAAACATCACAAAATGTCATGATACGTCATGATATGTCATGTGACGTAATCAAGTTTGACACCTGTGTTTTAGAACATTAAGAAACAGTGGAATGGTATGAAATTAATTATTGGCTTTCATGTATCTATTTCTGATGACAACATAACAATATGGTATGATTGCCAAAATATCTTTCCTTAGCAGAGGTACAAAATGCCTTGGGTTTTTAGCAATATAATATCAGTTGATACTGACAAATATTAGTATCTCACTGTGTCTCAGTTTGCATTTTAAGATAATTTTATTCATAACATTCTGCTTAAATAATTGTAAGACAAATAATGTAGGAGATGAGCATCCTGAACTGAAGGGAGAGGTTAAACAGTTTGGTGTCATTGCCCAGCCACAAGACATCCAAATCCTCTCACACACCTATACTGTGAATTATATTGACTCTTATCTAAAACTAATTTAGCTTGAGCTGTTAGTTGCTCAGGTTCTTGTTCATAGGTGGCAGGAATAAACTGCTAGTGAGTTGAGTTGAGTTGAGTTGCTAGTCCTCGTTATTTGCTCCTGACAAATACTTGCTTGCAATTTGGAGAGCCTGCAAATCAGGTCCATTTGTATCTTTTTAGGATTCCTGGGACCAACTTGTGCAGACAGAGTCGATTATTGTGCTTCATTTCCTTGTCAGAACAATGGGACCTGTTATACAGATCGACTCTCCTATTCTTGCAGCTGCAGTTCAGGTTTTACAGGACCTACCTGTGCCCACCTGATTGACTTCTGTGCTCTGAATCCTTGTGCTCATGGCATTTGTCGCAGTGTTGGAACAAGTTATAAATGTCTCTGTATTCCAGGTATGTAAGTTCTTGTCATATTCTTTCATATCTTCTTTGCTGTTTGCAAAATCTAATTAAAAGTATTTTTATTTTCCTGTTTAATATATGTCTGCTGACAAGCTGTTTTTTCCCTATTAACTTTAATAACATTTATGCAGTCTATGTTTAATGAAAGGAATAGATTGAGCACTTGGACATGCAAATTACTCTCAGTATGGCATATCCTTTGTCTGAAAGATTTATTCATAATTTTAGGCAGGCTTTATTTGTCAAAGGAAGTTAAAAACACCTGAATCAAATGATCACAGCTGTACATTAAATTATGTTCACAGAAAATTAAATCACATTTTAAATCGTCACTGTCTTACATAAAATCCATGGATTTGTAGGTTTTATGAACACATAATTTAGTATGATAGACTGTGTTGGATCATGATACAGCTAGTTGAACCTCATTGAATTTTAGTGCAAGCTAACTTTATTTAGCTTTTTATCTAATTTCTGATAACTTAGGCTGCATTCCAACATGAAGTTCCTTTCATCTAGCATATACTCAGAATTCCACTTAATTTGTCTTATCTTTTTCAATTTTTCTTCCATTGCCAGCATTTGCATTCAGTTTTCTAAACAGATTATTGCAAGCATGCCCGTGAGCATTTCATAGACATATCCCTTTAAAAATTTGATTAAATTTGAAACTCAGGAACATTAAAATGTTTCTATTCATTGGCTTTGCTCGGAACTACAATCAGAAATTCTATAAAAATTGTGTGAAATTGAGAAGAGAAGGAGTATATCTGGACTCAAACAATTAATAGAAGAAGTCATTGTTGGTTTATAAAAGAAATAGACTCATAATCCATTGTGCCAGCAGACGAAGAGGCTCTGCTTTAATGAGCTTACTAATAAAGCACGACTGGAGGGTTCCTATTTCAACTCTCAAGATTCTGTTATTTCACCCCTAGTTGTTGCCACTCAACTCATTAAAGAAAGTCTGTGTGACTTTTGCTTCCTTGTAAGGGACTTGACACTGCAATTTAAAATACGAACTGTAATAACTTGATTTAAAAGGACAGTTAAAGCAGATTAATGTGTAAAGGAATTATTACCCCTACAAAGTAATTGTTTGGACATTATCTGCAAGCAAGCTGCCAATGTTTTCACAATGCTCTTTTTCTTTCTTGGAATGGTGACTTGAACTAGAGGAATAGCTTAGGGTAAGATGTATATTTGCAGAACATTACATACTAAGGAAAATCCTTCTTCTACTCCAGATGGGAAAAATGAGCAGATAAGTAGAGAAAAGCATTTTAAACAATGTTTAAGTGTAGAATGTTGTTGGATAAGTGTTCCTACTAATGTGTATATTATCTAGATTTTTGCTGAATTACTGATCTCTCCCCCCCAATTATGTCACTCAGAAAAACCAAAGAAAAGAGAAATTTAAAATAAGCTGATTACAATGAGGAAATGTTCATAAATGTTCATCAGTGGGCCCATCTGGAAGAGTTTTGTATTGATCCTGTCCATTATATGACATCTAATTATGTATTGTAATGAGCTGCAGGATTGTCTTTGGAAATAATCTGGACATTCCAGTTATTTCAAGATAGGCTATTATAAGGGACTATGAACTGGTATCATTTCATACTTAGTATTAAAATAGCCCTTTTAAGTTTTAGGTTCAATTTAGAATATTGGTATTTACCTTACCTTTGCTTCTTAAGGCAAGAATTTTCAAAATTTTGCATATTTTGTTTCCTTTTTTAAAATTCATTTTTGAGTTTGTCTACATAGTAAAAAAGTCTTCAGTGAAAGATTCTCATTGAAATTTCTGAGGTACCCTCAGTTCAAAATGTAAAAATGAATTATATGAGGCCAATTCTTCCTGCTTTGTTCATCTATAGCAGGGCTGTCAAACTCTTGGCCCGTGATCCGGATGCGTCACTCATTGACTTCACCTATGCCCAGTTTAGTGAAGGGGGTCCCCATATGTTATGTGATGCTGCCGTGAGTTTGACACCCCTGATCTATATGGAAAATTATTTCTGTACATTCTTACAAGCCCTTCAAACATTGAAGAACTGTGATACTTCACTGATATTTTTCAAGGTTCTTAACGTGAAAAATATGTTCAGTGTTTTCAGGAGTTAAAATCCCCCTCCCCCCCCATAAGAAGGAGACAGTGTACTTCCTTGTCTAGCCTCTAAGAGTTCTGCTGACAGGCATAGGAATATCAACAAACCAGTGAATAGCTACTATTAAAAAACACGATATATGTAGCTGGTGCTGGGACTGGTTGATTGCTGAATAGCCCAGCAGTGTTTTTGATTGACTAAGTGTATAAGTTCTCCATAGGCATAACAGAGAAGGAGGCGAAGAATTACATTTTGGGAATTAACATATATTACAATAACATATATGACCTTGTATGTCAATGTAAGCTCATGAACAGTTTCCAATTTTATATTTATAGGTTAGGAATTTTTAACCATTTTACAGCTGAATGTATTTCACAGTGTGAAGTACATTGAGGGTAAAGTAGTCTTAGTAATACATCATTTTTAGTAACAATTAAACTGATACACATAGTTTGCAGTAGGAATATTTTTTTCTGCTGAATATTGAGTCAGGAGTTATAGTTTAAAGCTTTCTAGTCCCTTTGCATAACTTGAAAACCCTATTTTCTGAATTGATATTGGACTTTCAGGCTTTAGAAGGTGCAAAGAAACCCAAAATGATCTTAACTAAATGTTTCCCATGCACTTTCATATCTTTAATGATTTGTAGTAGTTTTAATCTTGGATCACTGAAAGCAGTTATATAGTAGGGTGATAAAAGCTATTTATTGAAATATGTTTTGATAACAGTGCAAGATTTTACTATGTTTGAATTGACCTTATAAGATGGGGTAAGTGAGTTTGGATGACATATTGAAATTAACTTCTGGTCTCCTCCAATATATAATATATAATAACAGAGATAGAAGGGACCTTGGAGGTCTTCTGACTCCCTGCTTAGGCAGGAAACCCTACACCACTTCAGACAAATGGTTGTCCAATATCTTCTTTAAAACTTCCAGTGTTGGAGCATGTGTTGAATATAAATGATTATATTCCTTTAGCCAATTGAGACATGAAGGTTGCCACATTGAAGAAGACTGATTAGAGCAAGGTGTAAACTAGTTGAGAACCTCTGTAAACCCCCTATAAATTACTCCAAATTGAATTATTTTTCTTCCAGACTATTGAATTACTGTCCCTCATCTCCTGTAAAAATACGGCACCTATGCTCATTATCTATCTTTTAAAGTGCCTCTATCTGACAGTAATTTATGCATAGGAATGTGTATGAGGTTTCAAGGTAAAAAATATTGGCTGATCAGTGTGGTACTCTGATTAATAATGAATTTGCAACCCCTTCCTCCCGAAGTTGTACGAGTAATAATTATGGATCTTGAGAGTTATAGTTCAGCAATATTTGGAAGGACAGAAAGTTTTCGTACCTTGGTCCTAAGCACTAGTTAAGATCCAACCAGACTACCATATTCTGATTTATAATTGTAGGTGACTAGGTACCACTGACCTTTATTTTAAAGAAATTACACTTGAGAAATACAAGCAGTTCTAAAGACCTAAACAACCTACATCAAAGCCCTCTTTTATGAATGCACAGCAGAGGCCAATATCTTCTAATGCTGGAAAGATCCAGGAAAAGAGAGAGCAATTCTCTCCACCCTTTGTCCATCTATCACAGAAGCCAAGCCTTGACATTAGGATCTACTTGATATGTCATAAATTAAAATAATCATAAAAATGATTTGGGTTTTTTTACAGTTCTCCTCGGAATATATGGCTGTGAAGCATCTTCCATGATTCTACTAGTTTTGAATTAAGATTACTTTGCCTTTCTCTTAAAGTGGCATGTTAATTATATTGACAATATAGGCATGAAAAAAATCCCTGTTTTTTGTGGATATCTGCTTGTGGACAATGGCGTTTTTGAAGATATTTTTAATGGGACAAGAAAATACAATTATTCTTAGTTTCCTAGGCTTTTGGATATGGAGGAATCAAAATTGGGCACAACATTTAGATAGTATTTAACTATTTTTAGCCCACTTATCCATCTCTTCTCCCCTTGAAAGCCAACAAGTGCACAAGTAAAATAAGCAGTTAGATTACAGTGATGGAGAGCCCAGCAGCAAACACTGAGACAAAAATCATACTATATTGTTACATTTTGAAAGGTTAGCACTGGAGAAACTTCTGAGCTTTCTGTATTTTCAAAGACTTTGGGATAGTTTGAAAAATCTTCTCATCTGTGAACAACCCTTCATGTATAACAGAAGTGTCAACAGTATCATAGCCTAAAGATAACTTTCCGCTAGTGATATGAAGAACTATACTGTACCTATTCACTGTTACATACACAGATGGTTTGATTTTGAGCTGTATGAAGCAGCCACTATTTCTGTAGTTTGAAGGCAAAAGTAAATGGCATCTTAGAAATGGAATCCAGTGAGAATATCTGACCTTTTTTTTCTGAAGCAAAAATCAAATAAATTAGTTTTTAAAAAGCTGTCATGCAGAACTACAATGCCTGTATTATTTTTTTCTGTAAATTGAATGCTGAGTAGATGCATAAGAAAGGGACATAGTGGCTCAGTGGCTAAGATGCTGAGCTTGTCGATCAGAAGGTCAGCATTCAGCAGTTCGAATCCCTAGCCCTGGGATGGTGAACCTGTAGCACGCAGAGCCATCTGTCAGGGCACGTGAGGCATTGCCCTGTCAGCTGGCCAGCGTGTGCTTGCGCGCGCTGGCCAACTGAGTTCAGTCTTTTTTAAAGGCATTTTTCGCTCTCCCCAGGCTCCAGATGCTTTATAGGAACCTGGGGAGGGTGAAAAGAGCCCCCCTGCCCCCCGGAGGCCATCCGGAGGCTTCAGGAGCTTCCTGAAGCCTCCAGATGCAAAGAACCAGCCCTATGGGCAAACAGGAAGTTCAGGAACGGACTTCTGGTTTGCTCGTAGAGTCGGTTGAAGC